TCAGGGTCACCATTGTAAAATGGAACCATTTCCATAACTCGTTGTCTAAATTTCATCTCGTTGGTGGTAGTGTCGAAGAGAGGTTGATTCTTGGCTGCCATTGTGCTTTTCTGGATTGGTGGTTGAGAAGACGACGTTTTTGGTATTGTAGATTGATATTCAGTGGGTATGGTTAGAAGTGTCTTAGGTACTGGATCATCATTGTCAGGATCGAACATGAATCAGGAGAAGAAGACGTTGTAAAGGACGAGGTACAGACTAGAAGAAACCGGAGTTCACGGCACCAAATGTTAGCCTGTCTGTAGGGCTAAGAGAGAGAACGATAGTGAGAGTGTGTGTGTGTATTGTAGACTTTATTTTCGAAGGAAAAATATATTATTATGTAAAAAAGAATAGTGTATATATATGAGAGAAAAAAAGGAAAAAAAAATGTGATATATGATCACATTTTTGACACAACGCATCATGCATCATGAATCAGGAAGAAAAGGAAGAAGAAAGCAAAAAATGTGATCCTAGATCACATTTTTAACAAAACGTGCATAAAAGAAAGTGATGACTTGAGTCATCGCTAACATATAGCATACATATATTTTTTATGACTCGGCATATTCTAAAGCTCAGTCATACAACAAAGATAATTTGTCTAAAAAATAACTATGTGACTAAATTTTCGGAGTCAACAAAAAAGTAAACTTATTCTTTAAAGAATTTGGTGATATTTCAAAGTAGAATTCAATGTTTTCCTTATGGATATAAGATATGAAAATTGCTTTATCCGTTTGAAAAACATCAGTCAATATAGCGAAATTGTAGCAGAGATTTTTGTTTTTTTTTTGTTTTGACAATTTTACTTTTTATGCATCTTTATCTGTGCCGAGAAACGTTTTTAGTGTGAATCATTCAATAATTTCAATGATAGTATAGAAAATCGAAAGCAGAAAACATCAAAGTTAGTTGAAAATTTGTGCGACCATAACAAAATCAGTCGAACTAAAGGAATATATTCGAAAACTTAAAACAAATACTTCGGCTGCTCAAAGAATTTATGAAAAATTCGATTCGAATAAGCCTACATTGTTAATTACAACAATATAAATTTTCTGGAAACATTGATGTATGCTTTTCTTTTGAAGTCTGCGTGCCTCAAATGCATTTTAAAGCACGGTTCATCGAGTTTGTAGTTGTCGACAATTAACGAGCTGATAGACAATCAGAAAAGAAACGCTGTTCTATTGATGATCAACAAATCTATGATACAAGCAGGTCTAGAAAAGAAACCATTAAAAAATGGCGACACTATGATATCAATTATAAAGCAAATAAGTAAAAACACAAGCATCTTGCCCCTTCATGATTCTTTACACTTCATTTCAGGGTTTTTTGTTCTTTTGCTTTCTTGTTTCAACGTAGAAAATCGGATTCTCTTAGCAAATAATTTTTAGTGCGCTGCCGTTATCGGTAACAATAAAGGTACGTTATCACGAATATGAATATCTCTTGTTTTTCTACTTGACAAGAGCAGGGAGAGTATAGGTGTGAATGAAGGGTAGGTATATGGGTGTGAGTGTTTGTCATCTCTTCATCCACAACCACATCCTCAAGATTTGATAAGTATATTATAGCATGTTTTCTAATAGCAGATATTCTTAATAATTACATTTTACTTAGGGCAATTCAAAAGCAGTGAGGAAGGTACCTTATCTCCTCAAGCAGAGGGCTAAAAAAGTATCTTTTTTTACCAATAGATAGAGCGTGTTTCGCTCTATTTTTCTATGCTATTTGATCATTCATCGCCTTCTACTAAGTTAGCGAAATTTCGAGAAAAGTTTTTTTTGCATGCAACTCCCTGGTAGCAGAAGCTGATATTTTCGTCCATACATCATTCTTTTTCGTTTCTTCTTCTTATCATTTCATACAACCTGATTCCACATGTTTTACTGTGTAACGAAAGCAATGAAAAGCAAAAGAAAACAAAAACAGAAATGAATTTAGTGATTAGATCACTAAATGTTCAAAGTAATCACCATAATTATCTACACACAGCTGCATTCTTTCGATCCATTTCTAGAAGGTCTTTTTGTACTCGTCGCAATTTAAGGAGTGCATGAAATCGGTCACAGCATCATGTGATGATTCTGAATCATCTTGATCAGTCAGATTATTTTTGATCATGTCGAATAACCAGAAGTCACAAAGTGATAAATCTGGAGAATTAAGTGAATGCGGTATTATTATAAGGCCTTCAGATTCAAGATAATTGGATACATCTTTATGCACATGTGGTCTACCATTGTCATGATGAATTTTGATACCACGAATCCCATACGAAGGTCTTTGACGTTTGATCTCGTCGATCAGAGGTCGTAAACACTGGTTGATGTAATAATGATGATCAACAGTCTGATCACGTTCGATGCGATGGACTAACATAGGCCCGGCCGATTTGAAAAAGATCGAAAACAAGGTTTTTGATGCGAACCGACTTCCTCGAACAACAGTAGGTGGAGCATCTCCTATATTCACCCATGCTTTGTTCAATACCTTTCGATCAACCTGTTT